GAATTCAAAGGAAAGACGCAACAGCCGCTTCGCCTGTCAGCAGGTACAGTTTCACTGTTTATATCTCCACACGGTGCTGTAAATTTACCCCAGCGTAAAGTAATCTAAGGGACTTCTACGGTCACTTGCTTTTCTCTCGCCTCGCCTTGAAGGTTAGGTTAGTCCTTTTGGGAACATTTTGACAACCTAAGATCCGTAGAACAGGCCAGGGCCGTGGAACAATTCTGTCCCGACTCCATTTGATATGTATGGGGTACAGTTAGACCGCCTCTGTGGTTTAGTGGTCAGAGTTCCTGGCGACAGATCCGGAGGTCCGGTTTCGATTCTCGGCGCTACCAGATTTTCTGAGACTTAGTGGCTCTGGAACGGGGTCCATTCAGCTTCGTGATGATAATTGAGGAGATATTTCAAGGAAACAGCGGCTCCGGTCTAGAAAACCGAAATTAACAGCCGTGGGGATTCGGTTCGCTGACCACGCAACATCCTCTGTATGCAAAAGTTGGCACTAAAACTTCGCCGACAAGTGGCGGTCGCTCGGTCGGTATAGTTCGCTTGCGGACTAAAATCACGGAGATTTTTTTTTGGGGGGGGGTACAGTAAACGTTCCGTATCTACCAATGCCCTGTGTGTGGGGACGGGTTCGAATTACCTCCTGCTTACCGTGCGAATGGCTGAAAGCGAAGAAAATTGAACCCGGTGCCTGGGGGTATAACTGAGCCACCCTGTCAGTGGGGGACAAAAACAGGAGCCTGGTCATCTAGGTTGGGGGTTGGACGCAAGGCTGAAGACCTTGCTCTGTAAAATATTGCTGCTGTGAAATCGAAAGAAGTAAAAACCGAACGAACTACCACAAGGCAAATCTGGTCGAATCTTCTACAGCAGGTTATGGCTCAAAAAGGTTATTTTGCCAATGATGATGATGATATCTATGTATAAGGGGTGGGCCCCTGCACCGCGACCTACAATGGTCTACTGTGCTTATGACGATACCTAACAATTACAAATAATTCACACTAAATTGTTTTATTCTCTTTAGAGGATATTAAAAAATTTCATTTATAAATAGATACGTCATGGTTGGAAAATATATAAAATAGTTCACACACTAAATAAATAGCAAAGCAACAACATACACGGTGCCAAATCCCAGAAGACTGCTTTCTTCATAGTCACCGCCGTGAAAGCCTCAAATCTTACAGCAAATGGTATCAATTTGTAGAATATTCATCCCAAAAGCACGGGGACTATGAGAGATCCCAGTCAGTTAACATGGAATAAACATGGCCGTTCAAAACATCATTGTAGAGACAGGCCACAGGTAAACATACGTGTTTAATCGTGACAATATAAATCTACGTTTTAATGTAGGCTCACGTTGAATATATACCCATATAATACGCAGCACAAAACAAAAAAAAAATCACATATTAGTTCCCTCAGGTTAGAAACACGTGTTTAAACGCATCGTTAATAACACTCGCAGAAATATTGAGCACAATCTTTGCTGGAATATTTTTATATAAATTAAAATTAATTTCATTCCAGAAAATATTCGAAGCCCGAAATGGCTTTTAGCTACATGAATGAATTTTGAATGTCGCTCTACATAATGTTCTGCTCTGTGCTGTCGTTCTTGTCTCCATTTGGAATATTTCCTCGTTTTCATGAAACCTCGTATCAAGATGTTGCAGCCTCCATTGCCATTCATCTCAGTTCGTCATGACACTCCTACATATATGTTCTCTTTCGCGACGCCTTCAGTGTTTTGCCAACAAACCCGACACTGTGCAACATATTGTAACGGATTTGATCAAAGAGCTGCCAGGCAACAGCTCTGTAAACACGTTCCAACACGCAACAATAGAGGCTGTGTTTTCCGTGTGATGTCAGGCAGATGTTGGTGGTGGTCATGTGACGTGTTTCCTGTTATGCATGTCCGTTCCTCGGCTATATAAGTGAGAGAATTCGTTCGGTTCAAGGACGAGTCAGTTCTCGGTAGGAGATAGCCACAGGAAGTTCGTAGTTGAAGAAGCGTACAAGAAGTCAGCCTGTGAAGATTTAACGTGTGATTTGAAGACTTTATGTATCCTGTAGCACAGTGATATTGGGAGTGTGTGATTTAGTGAGACTTTTATAGTTCCTGTGTTATAAACCAGTGAGGACTAATGCAGATGTACTGAGAAGATTAGTGTGGAGTGATTGTAAATTTTGTAAATCACCAAGAGTGTAATAATTATTTGTAGTTACGACCTGTAAGTATCCAAGAAATCCAGTTACTAATTAAAACCCGCGTCTTAGTCACTGTAACACGTGACACTAGTCTTCAAACATTTAAAGTAGAGTTGTCCAACATAACCACTGAGGGTACGTATTCTGTATCACGGGCCGCACTGTAATATATAAAAGTGGGATTTGTGGTGGACAAATTGTGTGGACCAATTGCTCCACAATCACCCTCACCTATCATCTGGGTCTGGTACAATAGGCCAGAAGTGGCCGCAGTACAAGGGACTTAGACCCACCCCACTAGCAATAAAAAGAATTACGGCCTACCAATTTATCCCTTTAACGTTCACACTACTCGTCATAAAATTTGTCGGTTCTACATATCAGCATTTGATTGCTTCATTTTCCATTTACATAACAAGAAGACAAACTGAATCCGTTGGGAACTGCGTTCACGTACGCAGTTTAGGATTTCACTCTGTTAATTACCAGACCCTACGGTTCTCAGCAGCTGCAGAAACGTTCAATAGGAATATTTCACTAAGAATAACATTCTCGTGCCACAGAAATTATCGAACAGAAGCAAATAATAATAATTTCGGAGTGAAACTTACGTAAAGAGCAGATGCAGTATCTATGTATGGCTCTACTGCCCTTTTTTTTTAGTTATTCTCGCTTTTTACATATCCGGGAGGATTCCTTGAACGGGGGAGCAGCCCGTCGCACGGCCGCTACGTGCATACAGGACAACAAACACACAATAAACACACACAGACATCCATGCCTTGAAAGGGATTCAAACCCACGATCCAAGTTTCCGAGCGGATGAAGACAGTGAGCATTAGACCGCGCGGCCATTTTGACTGGCGAACAGAAGCACTAAAACATCGAAAACACTGAAACTAGGTATATCACTTTCATCGCCATGGCTAGAGCCACAGTAGCGCAGTTCGATAAGACACACTTCACAGCCAACCTATGCTATGCAATACAGAAAGCAACCGGTCTGCAACAACAGGTTACTCCCCACGGCCCGGTACTGTATGACTGCTTACAGGCGTGGCTTATTTCAACCTTCGCACCGATAAACGGTAGTTGTGTGCGAGACGGCAAACCCCCGTCTGTACCTGTCAAATGTATATGCACCATAAAATGTGAATTACCCGAATTACTTATAACGACATAATATGTAACTTCAGGTTAAATTTGGTTAAAAACTTATTTTGGGAAGAATATTGTGATTACTTGCCCTCCTAACCTTATATCAGGCTGGGGCCACACGAGCGCACAAAATGCGTCCGTTGTAACGAACGTACTTTATGAAGGACGTTGCTGAGGACACCACACACTTGCAGAATGCGGTGCGTAGTTTCTGTTTGCAATGGAGCCAGAAGAAAGCGTAGCATTCGACTCTCTTGTTTATTTCTACAACGGACGTCATGACGTTCGTTACAACGGACGCATTTTGTGCGCTCGTGTGGCCCCAGCCTCAGATGTTCGCCCGTTAGTTGAAGATTTCATTTACTGGTTAATACTTAATTCCCCCCCCCCATCACGGTTAGATTCTAGGTCAAGTTATATGGGATTTGTGGCGAACAAAGTGGCAGACTTTCTCCGAGTACTCCGGTTTCCCCTACCAATTCTCATTCCAACAAATGATCCACGTTCATTAATCATCCTATCATTGAAGCTATATAAGCCACATACTGCAAACATCGTTAAACAACCAACTTAAATGAAGCGACAGTGTCAGTTCTGAGACTTTTTTGTAGTTGAACAACATTGTCTTACGGCGTATGGATGGCGTACGGAATGGCAGATGTTTACCAGAATACTCGGGGTCAATAACAGAGAAGAGTGTTTTGCAGAGTCACCAACCTGAGAACCACAAATACTAAATATATTTTGTCGTTTCGTCTGATATTCGCTTCATACTTTTTTGAAGAAACTAAAGGGGCCCATACACGTACGAGACTGGCTCGCGAGTCCGACTCCGCTTGGGGTCCCATGAGCCAAACTCGTCCGTTTGTGGGTCGCAAAGTTTGGAGTCAGCTCATGAGTTTGTGGTGAAATTAATCCGAGCCCGGCTCCCGAGTCAAGCTCGCGAGCCAGACTCGTACGGGAATGGGTCCCTTAAGAAACGCTTGTTCATTCGTACTGTTGCAGTCGACCAGTACTACTGTCAACTTAAGTGACATACAAGCCTAGTGTCAAATGTCAAAAGACACTCTGAATTTTTTATGAAGAAAGTGTTCTCTAAAAACAGCAAGATATATACCTCGTACAATACGAAAGACTTCTATAATTTCCTTTTCGTGCAACAATGTCAACTACTTGACGAATGAAAAAATCGTATCAATATATTTGACCTCGTTCAAGGCCGAGGTGACACAACGTCAAGAGGTCATCTGAGAAAACATGGCAACATTTAAACAGAATCGATCTGTATGAAAATAATTTCAGTTAATCGGCCCTTTGTTATTTTCTTAACCATCATTTCCTTGGAAGTAATCCATCAGAATGAAATACTGTCCACGACTCATAAACATATTAATCATGGTTTCATTTTACCACCTGTTCCTAAAATCCGATATATAAAGAACATTTTACGTGTGGCATAAAATATCTCTGTATATTAAACTAAATTTACCCCAAATATCGAGTAGGTAAACACTTCCTGATTTATATATAGAAGCATCGACTTAAAAGCTAGAATAATATTATGCTGCACGATAAGTATTCAATTATATCACAAAAAACAATTTTCAACTCACTGAAAAATAAATTCCAGTTCCTGTAATAAACACTTATTCTTGACAGTTCACAAAACATAAAACACACGCCAAAAACATAAGCGGAACGGCACAGTCTCGTTTTCCCGCCTTATCCGTCCGCATTCGACACACGACTGGCATAAGCGAAGAGGAACCGAAGAGGCAATGGAGAAAATACATAAAAAAAAAAAGTGCCGACCGCCCCGACAGAGAGGGAACGATTTGTTGTGCAGAGGTGGCGCTCCTATACGAAGATATCCGGAAACAGCCGAAGTTGCTACCCGACAGCACGCTTTCTATCTCTGTTTCTCTCTGTCTCTGGCTCTCTGTTTCTCTCACACACACGCGCGCGTATGAATTCCCGCTGAAAAACTCGAAAATTCACATGTAAACACGGCGAATTGCAGCTACACTTTAACAAAGCATGAACAAGATTCATTGACCATGTTAAAATATAAAGATGATAACAAAGAATGGGGTACACATTAGGGACAAATACTACGGCGAAATCTAATGTTTTCGCAGCGATGAGCATTACGAAAAATACTCTCTTCTGAGAAATGACGGTGGCAGGGTATTCCTCCGAAACGTCAGTAAACACCTACCAGACTATATGGAGGAAAATACCAGAAGAGGGTACGCCTATTATTTAACTTAACTACAACAGTAACAACTTATGACATAAAAGCATTTAAACTTCACAGAGCATAACTAGCTGAGCGACTGTTAGCTTCTGAAGAAGGAACCGGGTTCATGGAGTTAGCGAACATATGAAATCATTCTATAATACATAATACAGACATAAACCTTTCTACAGAAAGAAATATCACGTTTTTAGCACGAAAGGCGAAAATCTCGACAAATATGCAGAATGATTCAAAATTATTGATGGAGTTTCCGTGGCCTATAATTTCTAAACCGGAAATAAAAAATAGACCTACTTATGGATTTTTGAAAATGCAACTCAAGAAAATTTATTATTTGCAGAGTCAATACTGCAGAATTCAGAATAGAGCTTTTTGAATTATACTTTCATACTCCGTAGGCAATTTTATTTGGTTTCTTTTTTCCGGTTAATAATTGTAGGCCACGGAAACTCTTACGATAATTTAGAATCATCCTGTATATTTCCCGAATTTCCTCCTTTGGTGCTAAAACGCAGACTTTCTGAGGAGGTCGAAGTACGACTTGGATGCATTGTTAAGTAACTCTATGCCACACTGGCTCAGTATTCAGTATTAGCTCTTTGTAAGGGGTCAATCTGAGTACTAAATGTCACAATATTAAGAAACTTTGTGGTCTTCCGAAAAAACAGGAACTTAGACAAATTCCAGAAACCCACTAATCCCTAGTTTAATACAGCATCGTCAAAAAACTCCAGAACCGATATTCGCTCCGCGTTATATTGTGACATATAGGCCCGTTTCTTGGAAACGAATTGGCAGACATGTTTCCGGGGAGATAACACAAACCATCGCTGAGTGTTGTCCATGGATACGCGAATGGAAACTGAAGCCTTTTGGAAACTAGATCGTTGCTGCATAAGGAACAAACATTGTCTTATGATACCGTTAGACTATATAAGCGGCCGTTCAGATAAGAACGGATTCAGTGTTCACGTCCCGATGAGGTCATTGGATTTTTTTTTCAGTTGACCTAATCCTTCCAGCCGCACTAGGCCCTGAGGTTTACTCAGCCTCTAACAGAAATGAGTACCAGGAATTAATTAAATAATTTTCCTGGGGAGTAAAGCGCGGCCGGCGCGTAAGGCTGACAACCTTATCGCCATCTTTGAGCCGATTGTCTAGATAATGTGTGACCCTCAACGTCTCACAACCCTATGGGCCTCCATGGCCTGTTAAGGATAGCTTTACTTTTTTTTTTTTATTCTTATATGAGAAGTCGTCCGTAATTCATTCGTAAGGCTAGGAACACATACACAACGACATCGGTCGTACGGAAAAATCTCGTACGATTTCTTTGACGTACGACCTCCTTTTCACGCTAGAGCGACCAAATACATTTCTTTACTCTCCGACTGTCGTACGGTAGATGTCGCATGTCGTCACGTATGGAAGCAAAGACTACACTTTATATTCTACTACTGAACCGTAGTACTGAACATGAACCGTACGGACGTCGTACGACCGATGTCGCTGTGTGTGTGTTCCTAGCCTAAGTCAGTCGCAGTTCAAAGCAGTCGCGGTAGGAACGAGAACCAAGGGCTAAGTGACACGTAGACCTGAGGCAGGAGAATAGATGAGAGTATGAGAGTCGCACTCCTGTAACAAATTGAGTGGGTTTTAGATATTTAGTTATTGCGATTTATTGTAACTGATTGTGTTTAAGGGAGATCATAAAAGAAAGTGTCAAAATAAATCCATCCAATTCAAAATCCGTTCTTATTAGTCACGGAGCCATAAGCTTCGTGACAGTATAAAGGACTAATTTACACATTGTTAAATAACGAAAATGTAATTCTTTTTCATACACAAACAAACTCCGCGGCTCGAGTCCGCAAGCGAACTATACCGACCGAGCGACTGCCGCTTGTCGGAGAAGTTAGTGCCAATTTTAGCGGATAGAGGGTGTCGCGTGGTCAGCGCAACGGATCCCCATAGCAGTTAATCTCGGTTTTCTAGACCGGAGCCGCTATTTCTTTGAAATAGTTCCTCAATTATCCTTACGAGGCTGAGTGACCCCGTTCCACACCCACTACAGAAAATCTGGTAGCGCTGAGAATCTAACCCGGACCTCTGGATCTGTAGCCAGGAACTCTGACCACTAGACCACAGAGGCGGTCTCTTCTTCATAGAGCCATTGAAAAATATGAGTATTAAATATTCAGTTCAAGAACAAAATTCATATCTGACTGCATAATGACTGTACTGTTGAAACTATTGCAATTAACATAATGCACTGGGTTTGTGACGTGTGAAAGGACTGACTGTCAGTGCTTAACAGGATTTATATTCCTCGCCTATTTCTATAGATCACTGGACCTTCGTGAAGGCGATTTCTAAAGAATTTATTGTTGCCTCGCCGACACGGAGAACAGCCAGCGCGCTGATGTTCTGTTCTTCTCTCGCTCGACCATAACCTGAAGCGTCCCACAATGCAATGCAGAATGTATGACCTATCCCTCACCCCAGTATCAGAGCCTACACCTCCCTAAAATACGGGCAGATGTCACCCCACATAGCAACCCCTATATAACATATATAGATGCGGGAATATTTGGAATTCACTCCCTTATAATAGGGGCGCATTCAGAAATTCTAGATGTGTGGTTTCAACTGACTACGTTCTAATGCAATAGTGATGTAAGGAACAAACTGACCTAAGTGGTTTATGCGCAAGTTTACCCCTGTAGGTGGACCGCCTCTGTGGTCTAGTGGTCAGAGTTCCTGGCTTCAGATACAGAAGTGCCGGGTTTGATTTCCGACGCTACTAGATTTTCTGAGAAATAATGGGTCTGGAACGGGGTCTACTCAGCCTCGTGATGATAATTGAGGAGCTTTTTCATGGTAATAGCGGCTCCGGTCTAGAAATCGAGATTAACGGTCGTGTGGATTCGTTGCGCTGACCACGTGACACTCTCTATCAGCAAAAGTTGGCACTTACTTCGCCGACAAGCTGCGGTCGCTCGGTCGGTATAGTTCGTTTGCGGACTACAGGCCACTGAGTTTGTTTTTTGTTTTTTTTTCTCCCTGAAGGTGACACTATGGCCGACAGTGCAAACGCAGTTCGATGTCAAGAGGACAGGAGTAGGCTGAGGAAGAGACTTGTAAATAACATGAGCCCTAGTCTCATCCAGAAGATAGTTTGATGATATTTATCTTACAGAGACGCACGGAATGCTGTATTCAGTTTGAACTGATCTCGCCGAATATGTTCAACAGGGGGCGGCAAACCTCTCAATGGCTTTTTAGTCCTTCTGTTGGACCTTGGCTGCTTTTTCACTTTTTAATCTTATACACAGTCGATAGGAATCCTTGGACGGGGGATCAGCCCGTCGCAGGGCTTCTCTACCTGTACACAGAACAACACAGACACAGAATAAACGCGCACACAAACATCCATTCCATTAGGGATTCTAACCCACGATCCCAGCATTCGAGCGAGCAAAAACGGTTCATCCTTTAGACCGCACGGCCACCGTGATCGGCCGAGCACGACTATCACATCGAGAATATCTCATCCTGATTATCATAAACCCGGAGTAAAGGGCACACATCATTAGGATATGGAAGACAGGAATATATATATATATCATTTACGGTAGCAAGGCGCCAGTACAGACTGAAGGAATTTGTTTTGCTGGGGCAAAACTGAAGGTGGTTAGATAGTGTCTCAGTTAAACTCTGTGGCTTGTAGTCCGCAAGCGAATAATACCGACCGAGCGATCGCCGTTTGTTGGCGAAGTTAGTGCCAACTTTATCGGATAGAGGGTGTCGCGTGGTCAGCGCAACGGATCCCCACGGCCGTTAATCTCAGTTTTCTAGATCGGAGCCGCTATTTCCTTGAAATAGCTCCTCAATTATCTTCACGAGGCTAAGCGGACCCCGTTCTAGACCCGCTACATCTCATAAAATCTGGTAGCAAGGGGAATCGAACCCGGCCCTCTGGATCTATAGCCAGGAACTCTGACTAGACCACAGAGCCGGTCCTTAAAACCAAAATAAGTTAAGTGTGACATGTGTCGCTTTTACATGTATCCGACACTATTGTTTCGGTTGTCCACGCAGTGGGAGAGGCAGATACTAGAAGCAACTGCACAGCCATTGATTGACAAGTTGCAGCGCGCCCAAATCTAATTTGAACCCAATCTAATCAACATCCAAAGTAATAGCCAGGGGTACCAACACAAAACCGCTTCTGGATAACAAACTGCCACTCTGCTGACACCGAATGTCATAAACTCAGTTTTGGTGGAATTTTTGTTCTGTCCCTCAGCCACATTAAACTAAATTATATTACGCTCTTCATGAGGTCGAAACATCACTAACATAGGGAAATAAGATTTCTTTTTTTTCCTTGGCACTACAGCCCCAGTGGGCCTAGGCCTGCCTCCATGAAC